GCTGCTTTCTGTCGGTCTTTACTTTGCTCAGTTCATCTTCTCATAAATCGTCCGTTCAGACGGATATTAGACACTAGAAACACCTTTGATCAGCAGGTGACACTCGTGATGTTTGAGGACGAGGTGTGAATGAGGTTTGTGTGTTAGTGTGTGTGTGTGTGTGTACACGTGTGATGGAGGATCAGGATAAAGAAACTTCAGGCCGAGGCTGTTTGATCGCTCGAGGAAAACAAACGCATCATTATCAAGAAATGAAAAGACTTAACAGCAAACGCTCAAATGCGTGGTGGAAAAGTAAATAAGTAGGCTAACTGTACGACATGAATCCTTAAAGTCTTCATATGTGATTTTTCACACTTAAGTATAGAAATCAAGTATCTCCTCTGAAAATAACTCTGTGAGTCATGACTGTCTACAATGGGTGTAACACCCGAGTCCCACTGTCTCTGATGTTTTCAGAGTTTTCAGAGTCCTATCTTCAGTTTGTTTACATCGCCAGGACGGCCGGTTGACTCCTCCCCTCGTGTATAAAAGTTGTTTAATTGAGGGACTAGAGAAAAGAAGAATAACATACTGTACTCACTGCTTAACTGTGTTTCTAGATCACGCTCATTTCAGGTCAATTTACATGCAGTGTGAAGATACCAGCATAATAAAGATCGCTAGCATTAGCATGCTAACATAACAATGCAGTGCCAGTTGTTTTGGTTTCATGCTGGTGCTCAAGGGCGACATCTGCTGGATCAAAAATCACATATAAAGCCTTTAATTAACATTTAATTTATAAATTGTGACACACGTTCTATAGCTTCATGAATAAAACATAAATAATGTTCATGTTTGTTTGCTAAATGGGTTTAACGTCCTTCTCTGATATGATTGTAATTAGACCGTTATGAGGTTTTTGGGACCGATACTCGTGTTAAGAGATTTAAGGATTGAGTGTAGGGGGTGTGTCACTCACTAAGACCGGAACTTTGAAAGGTTGCCGTGGAAACAAAGCCTGTCAGTGGTCTTGACTGATCTAGATTTAAAATCCTGAGTCCACAAAGTCTGGGACCGAGACAAGACCGAGCAAAAATGCTTTAGATTCTGAGATGAGACCTTCAGAAAGTGGACTCTAGACCAAGACTCGATTTCGGGTACTTCAACTCTAGCCGATACCGATATCGATGTTAGGGAGGTGGAAAAATCAGATACCGATATATCAAACACTTGATGAAGATTTAGAGTTTAATAAAGACAACATGGTCACTCAACTGGAAAGTCACCGCTCGACACTCTGGAGAGGGATGATGCTCGTTATAGGGCAGAGCTAGGCTAACAGCTTCCCCCTGTTTTCACTCTTTGTGCTAAGCTAGGCTAACTGTATGTAACAGAAAGACGTGAGCGTTGTGACATTTTCGACATCGATCAAACGAGTTTCAAGCCCAAAATCAAGTTTCTACGTTTCTATCTTTCTTTCTCTTCAGCATCGTCTGACTGTTGACTCTTCGGATGTTCCCGAAGCGATGACCGATCTCCATCAGCATCACCCCACGTGTCACCATGGTTACCCATCAGCTCGGTGACCGCCGACCCTCTCCGCTCCGGTTCAATCAGCTGCTGGGATGCACGTGATGGCCAGCGTCTCCCAGGCCAATGAGAGGGAGGGCTTCTCCCTGCAGAAGGGGGGCGTGGCCGTCGCCGCTCTGACGACTCCTCCTTCACCTCCTCGTCCTCCTTCGGGATTCTCTGATGTCAACCAGACGAGACCGCCTCCGCCTCCTCCTCCTCCCCCTCCTCCCCTCCTCCTCCACCACCTCCTCTTTTCCACCTCCCCCCCTCCCATGCCGCCCTTGCTTCCAGGGCTTGGAAACCCTGAAGGTGGTCTGAGGAAGAAGAAGAGAGTGAGGAGTTTCTTTTGGAAGACGATACCTGAGGATCAGGTAGAGTCGACGCTCAGCAAAAAGATTCAGTCACATTTCTAGTACTTTAAATCATCATTTACAATTCATACATAAACTAACATATCCTGCGTGTGTACCTGTCGCAGGTGAAGGGGCGGGCCAACCTTTGGACTCAGGATCAGGTGCAGCAGCAGTTCCAGATCGACGTCCAGACCATCGAGGAGCTCTTTGGTCAGAATGACTCACAATCAAACGCCAAGGCCGCGCTCGCCAGGGGAGGAAAGAGCAGGAGCTCGTTTCAGAGAGGCCAAAGAGGAGGTGTGTGTGTGTGTTGTGTGTGGTGTGTGTGTGTGTGTGTGTGTGTGTGTGTGTGTGTGTGTGTGTTGTGTGTGTGTGGTGTGTGTGTGTGTGTGTGTGTGTGTGTGTGTGTGTGTGTGTTGTGTGTGTGTGTGTGTGTGTGTGTGTGTTTCTAATATGCAGGTTGACGTGTGCTGCTGTTTATTGAAGGTGTGTTCAGACAGTTTCCACCTGGGCTCTGACCTCACACTGACACCTGTTCCCCTACCTCTCTCGCTCTCTTCTCTCGCTCCTCTCTCTCTCTCTCTCTCTCT